AAAGATTACGAGTAGAACTGGTAATATTACAGAGGACATTGCTTTTTACAGGAGGTGGCTTTATTGCTGAACAATACAATTGGAGCTAGTTTATGTAAATCATTCGGTAGCAATGGCGTCTCAAAAGCTGCTTATCAAACTAAGGGTTTCACTTGATAACAATAATTAAGTTATTCAACTGTAAAGTAAGATACGGTAAGATAATGAGTGTCTTTTACAACTGTTGTAGATTCTGGACAACGTGGCTTTCATCATAGTGGAGGAGAGCCAGGAGGGCCAGTCCGAGTACACCATGTGGAAGGAAGTGTTCATCATTATTGACCTGCTGTGTTGTGGGGCTATCCTCTTCCCAGTCGTGTGGTAAGTTAGCAATTCACTTTAGCTAGACTTTAGTTTAGCTCCATTAAGTACACCCTAACACTAAAAGTCCAACAGTCATCTAACCTTTTTTTTATGTGGATATATCTTGAGCAGTACCAATGTATCAAACAAATCATGCTTAATTTAGCATAGGAAGGTAAGCTCCATTTCCTCAGATTTGGCAGAGGTAGATTTACAAACCTTCTCTAGTCATGTAATGTAACTTGTGTTTTAGGTCCATACGTCACCTGCAGCAGAGTGCCAGAACAGATGGCAAGGCTGCCATCAGTCTTCAAAAGCTGAAGTTATTTAGGCAGTTTTATATCATGGTAAGCTTTCAGTCAGTAACACCTCTACCAAATATTTTGCAGCCTAACAATTCCAACGAACATATTAACCTAACACTACAACCATAAACCACAATCTAACACCAAAATCAAGCACCTCAACCTAAACCAACAAGCTAGCACCTCAACTTAAGCCTAAACATAGCACATCAACATATCACCTCAACATAGCACCTCAACCTTAAGTCACAACCAAGCACCACAACCTAAAGTCACAACCTAGCACCACAACATAGCACCACAGCCTAAAGTCACAACCTAGCACCACAACCTAAAGTCACAACCTAGCACCACAACCTAAAGTCACAACCTAGCACCACAACCTAAAGTCACAACCTAGCACCACAACCTAAAGT